TGTTGAATTTTGTGAAAAACATTTTTTGTCAATTGATTTGATCATATGATTTTTTTCCTTTAGTCTGTTGATAGGGTGGATTACATGGATTGATCTTCAAATGTTGAGCCAGCCTTGCATATCTGGAATAAACACCATCTATCATGGGATATAATTCTTTTTATATATTGCTGTATTGATGTGCTAATATTTTCATTTCAGATGTTGGTGCTTTGTATCTTCTCTCTTTTTACCTTTGTCAGTCTTGTTAGAGGACCATAAATTTTATTAATTATTTTGAGAAAACCAGCTTTCTTTGTTTCATTGATTTTCTCTATATTTTTCTAGTTTTCAATTTCATTGATGTCTATTTATTTTTTCTTTCTTTTTTAAATTTCACTTTTCAATTACCGTTTACATTCAATATTATTTTGTATTAGTTTCAGATGTACAACATAGTGGTTAGACAATCATATACTTTGTAAAATGTTCTTTTTTATTTCTTTTCTTCTTGGTCTGGGTTTATCTTGCTCTTCATTTTCCAAGCTCTTGAGGTGAGAGTGTAGGTGATCGATTTGAAAATGATCCTCTCCCAATGCACACATTTAGTGCTGTACTTCCTCTCAGTGCTGTTTTAACTGTGTCTTATCAATTTTGATATGTTGTATTTTTATTTTTATTCAGTTCTATGTATTTTTTATTCTATTTGAGACTTCCTCTTTGATCTAGGATTATTTAGAAATATGTTGTTTAACTTCCAAGTGCTTGGGGATTTTCCTGTTGTCTTTCTGTTATTGATTTCTAGTTTGATTCCGTGTTATGTAAATGAGACAAAGATGGCACCTGTATATTGCTGCGCCCACCCCCAGGTTGCTTACAGCAGGCTAAGACCCATTAGCCCAAAAACCTGTCAGATCCAAAACTAAATTTCATACACATCCAGTTGTTTTAGGCTTAACCAAAATAAGCAGATTTTTAGCTATTTAGAGCCAGTCTGCTTTACATACCCCATGAAACTGTGCCCAGCACATGCTATTTAGAGATAAGATAAACTCTGAGGGTATAAAGACCCCAAGTCTCTGCTGCCTGTTAGGAGTTCTCTGACCCAGAGACTCCCTGCTAGGTTGCTGAGTAAAATAAGTAGACATGCACAGCCTCATTAAATTTTATTCCTAAGTTCAGAGAGGGACTCAGCTGACTATGCAGCCCACTGATACTACAGTGGTGGGAGAATCAGAGCTTTCTTCAGGAGAGTGTGAAAGATCAGCCCCCAGCTGAGCCCCACCAACGCTATCCGAGCAGGAGAATCAGGGCATCGCCTTGTTCTGCTGGGTGGAGATGGAAGACAGGCTGCCTGCTTGGTCCTATCACCACCTAATGGGAAAATCAAAGTGTATCACCTGCTCCCCAGGGGTGGCAGTGGGGGTTTGATAGAAGATCAACTTCCTGCTTATACCCACTGATACCACGTACGGGGAGAGGAGGAGAGTGGTTTTATCCATTGGTTTTTGGCTGGAGTAGGGTGCATACTGCCAAAACAAATTTCTGCTGTTAGCCCACCTTCTGGGTCCCTTGGCTACGGGGAACAGGCTTTCCTTGAGCTTTTTAATCTGTGTTTATGGAAACTTCTGGTTGTAGGCTTCTGCAGCATCCTTTTCAGAACATATGGGAGCCAATAAGGAAACTTAGAGAACTCACCACTATGTCCTCCTCAAGTCCCAAGATCCCCAGGCAGCCTACCTTTCTCTTTCCCTGTTTCAGAGACTTCCTATGCTTGTCTGTTGTGTTGTATATACATTTCTTTTAGGTGTACATTTTTTTAGCATGTACATTTTTTTCTCTTTTAGGGAAAAATAGAGCTATTTCATGTGGGCAGAACTGTTCTCCTCATTTTAATATAAAATTTCTGAGGATTTGTAGGTTTCTTTAGCACTGCTGTTTAATTGCTCAATACTCTTATAGGAATAATGTTTACTTTAAACAGTAGTAATATCAGATTAACGATTTGTAGGATAAATCGGGGTGTCTTTACCTTAGGAATTAGAGGGAGATCTTATCTTGCTTCCTGTTCTATTGGTATATATGAGGGCTGTCCTTGCTCCTCTTTTGGTAGCCCCTGTGCCTTTCCCTAATGCCATGATAAATACCTCTTTTTCCTTTATCTCTCATTTATCTTTTCTTCTTCTGAGCATATTTTAAAGTGGTGAATTTTTTGTATACCACTTATATAAATATTGTGTGTGTTTGTGTGTTTCTAACAAAGAAATATACTCATTATTTGAAGCGTTTTAGCTGAGTTGAATACCCTCCTCCCTACCCAGGCCTTGATGCCCAGAATCTAGGTCCTTGGGGAGTCATGGAATACAGTTCCCCACATCCACAGGTGTCCTATGGCCTTGGGGGCAGGTGATCTTAGAGGGAGTGAGGAATGTAATATATCTGGGAGGAGGAAAGTAGATTTAGAGTATACTTGTGAGCATTTACCTAACACTACCAATACCTTCAGGGAGAAATCAAAGGTCACTTGTCAGACAGAAACTGTTAGTGGTAACAGCAATAAGCCAAAACCCACATGGCAAAGAGACCAAATACAACGTCAGGTCACTCACTATTTTACACCATTGTGCCAGGTGCCAGAAATAGATGATTGACATAAATATCTTGCCCCAAGTTTATGAAGGCTGTGGTCACATAATCCGTTATAAAGGATGGTATGTTGCTCTGGTGCCAAATCACCCAAGGTGCCATAGTTAATATGGAGTCAAGCCCACTCCCAAGCCAGCATCTTTGCCTATGCTGACTGTACTTTGTATATTTATCTCCTTTAGAACAATTATGTTGCTGTAATGTAATGGTTTCCTCCAAATAAGTCTTTTCCTCTATCAGGCTATAAGGTCTTTGAAGCCAAGAGCTATATTCTTTTCATCTTTGTATCCACAGTGGCTGGCACATAGTAGGTACTCATTCAAAAAGTACTTGTTGAGTACTTAGGTTCCAGGCACTGTTCCAGTTCCTGGGAAAATAAGACACAAAACTCTCAGCTCTCAAGGTGCTTGCATTCTGGTAGAGAAGATGGACAACTATGATGAAACACCTTAGTACACTGGCGCTTAGGAGATAATTTGTACTTTGCCTAGGAGTCTCTGAGTAAGTCCCTGGGAGACCCTTAGGGCTGCATATTTCTAATTAAATTTATCTCTGTGAAAATATTTTGAGCTGCAGTAAACATAAAATCTCCATTTCTCTAGTCTGTTGATCTTACCACAAGAGGAATTGTTTGAGTGGTCCTGGGAATGCCACTGCTACGAGGGTTCAGTTCAATTCAGCCAACACAATACAAGGCGTATGTGCAAGGCGCTAGAAAATATATTCATATATTATCTCACTGAGTGACTCCCTTTGATTAAGAAGGTCTTTCATTACCCATATCTCACTCCCTCTGCTGCCCCAGGTCTCTGTGTCCTTAACAGGGCACTCCCAAGGCACCCTGTGCACTCTGCCAGTGTGGCTGTATTGTGATACCTGGTTTACTTTTCTGTTGGCTGCATTCACTGGTGTATTTTTAGTTACTCGAGGCCGGGTGGCAGGAGGTGGTTGATCAAATCCCAGCTCCCTTACTGTGTGACACCGTACAGCTTATCTAACCTCACTGAGCCTCAGTTTACTCATCTGCAAAATTTAAGCAATAACAATGTCTATCTTGTTGTGAGGGTTAAAAAATAATGCACATAAAAAGCCTAATGTGTGCCCACCTATAGTGTATCATTAACTGTTAACTAGGATGGGGCCTGCTATATCACAGGTATTCAAAAAAATGTCTCATGAATTAATCCCCATTTAACTTTCAGTGAATAGGGAAGAGAATGGTGCCAGGATCCAAGTCTTCTCACTTAAAACCTTATACTCCTGGTTAGAGCGTCGGCCTGTGGGCTGAAGGGTCCTGGGTTTGATTCCAGTCAAGGGCATGCACCTCAGTTGCGGGCTCGATCCCTGGCCCTTGGTAGGTCAGGGCACATGCGGGAGGCAACCCAATCGATGCATCTCTCTCACATCGATGTTTCTCTCTCCCTCCCTTCCACTCTCTCTAAAAAGCAATGGAAAAAATATCCTCGGGTGAGGAATAAAAAATAAAAAAAAATCTTGTACTCCCGCTGTAACATGACGCCTTAAAGATATGCTTTTTTTTTTTTTTCTTCCCTAAATAAAAGTTTAGGCCAGTAATCTTATGGGATTTTTATGCTATTTTTAGGTGCTTGAATCAGTCAGGAAGAAATACTTTGAGTACTTTGAATACTGGGACAACTGGATTGAACATTAGGATCAGTAATGTCTTGAAAATTTGAGATTGCTGTCCTTAAAGTGACTAACCCCTTTGCTTGGAGTCCAAGACATTCTTGTATCAAATTCTACCCTCTACAAAAAAGTATTGGCCTGGGGTTCCAATGTCCAGAACTGAGGAGGCAGTTAAGTCATTAAAAATTGCGAGGAAAAGCACTGATGCTTCCGTTAGGGTCTACAATCGTCTGCCTGTGAGAGCGGGCTCTGGTCACTGAGTGCGAAGCGGGAAGCAGAACAAGTTCCCCTTCTCTCCTCAGCTCAGTGCTTCCTTCCCGCCCCACTCACCCCGAGCCACACGGCCCTGCTCCGGTTCCCAAATGCTTCCTGCTGGTAGCCCGGCATGCAGACAGTTGAATCTTGAACAACTAAATTTTTTCAAAGAAAGGAATCCAATATCATTCACTTCAAGTATTAATGGGCAATTGGGATGAGGAGAATGGCTTCTTCAAAACTGTTCACATCACAATAGATGGGCAAAGATAACCTATGCTTTCCTGGAAATATTGTGAGTTGCTTATTAAGCAACAGCTATTTTGGGGGAGGCAGAAGTAAAGAATTCAACAGTGTAGTCTGCTAAAGTTAATGTTATATTTATATTGCTTTATAATAATCAAATTAAAATATTTATTCAAAACAATGTAAAATGTTAACAATGGTTTTTAAAGTCTATATCATCTACTTACTGATTTTCCTTTTTTATTTGTGTTTAGCCATCCATAGGTCTTATCTTGCATTATCTCATCTGAAAAAATTTTTAAAAATAATTATATAAATAAGTTGGCACTTGTCCCACTTGACAAGCATGTTCTACACACACATCTCTAACTAATGATTGTGTAGCATAGCTATTAGGAGCGCACACTCTGGAGCCAGACTGCTTTTTCTCAAATAGTCTCTGTAACTAATGACCCATCTAACTTTAGACAAGTTATCTGGACTCCCTCTGTTTCCTCATTTGTCAAACGATGAAAATCCCCCTCCATAGGTTTGTGTGATCTGAAGGGCTGAAGTATGTAACACTGTGTGTGGAACATAATAAGCACACGATGAATGCAAACGTTATTGTTGCTATCATTACTGCTCCCTTGAATCTCTGCCCCTTGGGTCTGTCATTAAAAACTCCAGCTGTTATTTTCAATAGTATTATTAAAATGCATACAAGTGATTAAAATTAAATGCCATCATGCTCTGTAATTTATGTACATGAAAGATTAGTCTTTTAGTCAGATTACAGTCAATGTTTGTATTGAGGACTTCTACTTTTCTGGCTCTTAATGCCAGTTCAAAAATTAAAAACTAAAACAGCAGCAGCCACAACAACAAAATACCCAACTACTACTCATGTGCTCTAGGCGGTCCTGAATGTTTCTGTGGCTGTTAAAAATGAAACATTACTCCAAGCTGTGCTTGGCTGGATGTTTAAAAGATTGCTTTCGCTCATCCTGACTGGAGCCTCATTTTAGCCTATCCTCTAGCAGCCCCTTGGGTAATCTTCCACCACACATCTGCTATATATCCAACTCTGTAAGACTGTGTGGACAGTAATCTACATTCTGGATAGCTTTCATGAATAATTTTGCCATTTCCTTAACAATTCAATTCCTGACTTGAGAGAGAATTCTTATGGTGGTAAACTAAAAGCATTCATAAAGCATGGAGTGGAATGGCCCTGGCCTTCAATGAATCGTGATGCTAGGATAAAATATATGTGCGTAAGTATCAGGAGTTAGGGAGTATCTATGAAAGTAGCTCAAAGTAACCGAGGTAGGCACATGCCTCTAATGCGCTCACAGGTAATAACACAAGGCATTCAGCAGGAGCACTATATGAGCCCCACTAAATAAAGCCTTCAATGTCTGCATTTTATATAATGTATCTGTAGAAGTACTGGGTTAATCATATAAGACTGGTCTGCATGAGAAAACTGAAAAGTGTAACGCAAAGTACAACAAAACCATTTAAAATATATATTAGCAATCTTAAATAGCTTGTGTTCCGGAACATAGATTTTTAGATATACAGGAGATCCCATAGTCTTAAAACCATCTCTCTCATTTTAAAAAATGAGAAAAAAATCCAGTAAAGGTTGTGGCCTGCTCAAGAGCAAGACAGGAGTGAGCAATAAGATAACAAACCCCATTTCCCACCCTAAGTCTTTGCTTGAAAAAAAGATATCCCATAGTCATTCTTCCCAGCTCTGTACTGGATTTGACACTGCTCACAAGCAAAGGCTCTTCACTCTTCAGAGGAGACTGGGCTACTGGCTTGTTTCACAGGCTTTTTACATCTTTTCAAATTACTCAGCCTTTCCATACCTCAGTTGCATCATCTGCAAAGCTAGGATAGTAGTGTCAACCTCACACGCTTGTAAAAATACTAAATAATCTATGTAAAGTGTTTACAAAGTTATGATGATTAAATAAGGCAATATAAGGCAGCCACAGGAAGTACTCAAATACTTATTTTTAGTATTTAGTTACCTTCTTTCACTTTTAAAATGGAGAAATTGAGGCTTTTGTAAGACAAATGATAGCTGAAGGTCACAGAGCTAGTTAGTGGCAAGGCAGGGGTGAGATCCAGTTTAACCCTGCATTAATATTTTCTGTTACTTGGTAGAATGTTTTGCATTTTCAAGAATAGTTGGAAATAATAGAATAAGGAGCTTGCTGGCTGTTCTATTAGATTTGCTCCCAAAGTTCTTCTATGGAAGCAACTTTCAACCTTTTCATCTCATGGCACATAAACTAAATACTAAAATTCTGTGGCACACCAAAAAATACGTTACATTTTTTGCCGATCTGACAAAAAAATAGGTATAATTTTGATTCAATCACACTGGACGGCTATTGTTGTGTTGATGTCATTTTTTAACTTGACAACCTAAGGGAAAAGAGGTCAGTGCCCCTTACTAAATAGTCAGGTATTATGTGTTTTAAAAATTCTTGTGGCACACCGGTGTGCCATAGCACACTGGTTGAAAATCGCTGTCCTATGATTAGAAGAACCCAAAGGATATTAGAATAAAAGTTTTATAGAAATCATATTATGGTTACCTAAGTATCCCAATCTCCCAAGATATCTTATTACTACTGAATGTTATTCCCAATGGTCACTTTTTCTTCTAGAATAAACAACAACTTGGGTGTACTTTCAATTTTTCCTGATGTTTAAAGTATTAGTTTCTGAAACTGACAATCCTATGTTACAAAATAGCTTCCTGCACCTCAATACGTTCTTAGAACTGTTATCATTGTATAGAACAGATGTATAAATACATGTATATATGTAAAAATACAAAAACATATATGGCTAAAGCATTAATTTCTAATCATTTTTATTTCATCACATTCAGCTATTCAAGATAAGCCAAATTTCCCTTCTGGATACTCTGTTCTAAAAATATACTTCTTCACAAATTGGCAGTTACAAAACTGTCATGGGAATGTAAAGTTCAGCATAGGGAATATAGTCAATAACACTGTAATAACTGTATGTATGGTACCAGGCAGGTACTTGAATTATCAGGGGAATCACTTTGTTTTTTATATGATTGTCTAACTACTATGCTATACACTTGAAACTAATATAATACTGAATGTCGACTATAATTGAAACATAACATTTTAAAAGTAATAAAATAAAAATATACTTCTCAATCACACTTTATTTGCTATCTTTCCCCACAAGTCCTTAATTGGAGAATTCTCTCTACAACCCAAAGGTGCTTGCATGTTACAAAGAAACGTGTTTGCGTGCTCATCTTCCATCAAATGTTCTAGTTACCTTCTTTTTATAATACTGCAGGCACCTCTGGATGGATATTCAGTCACGACACAGTTATGACTGTTCCAACTGTTATATATTAAAACATTTCTGTACTAATTTGTAAAAAGTTGCTGCCTAAAAATGTTCATTCATTGCCCTGGCTACTTTGATTCTCTTAGGACTCTCTAATTTCCTGCAGCCCCAATACGGCACAGCAAGAAACCTCCAAAACGCTGATCCAACAGTATCGTCTGATTTGGCTGTTCCATACTCATGCTGTACTAGTTAAGTATTTCGATTATCACCTTTGGGTTTACTGATATGTTGAATATGTTTTCATAATAATATCACTGAACAACTCTTTGAATTAGAAAAACCTCTTCACTAACAGATCTACAGGATAGCTAAAATGTTTGTAAACACAGATAAACATAATAAATGGTTTACTAATATTATAAGACATAAAAAATAAACATTATCTAGGATTTTAAGGCCACTTGCATTTTGCTCTGCTTGATTTCCCACTAATATTGTAATTCTACAGCTTTTTCATGCCAGTTATCATAAAATAATGTGATTTACATTTCAAAAGAAAATATTGATAATCATGAGTTCATGTTTTCAATTTCACTGAATATTTGAAAATTATAAGAATACATATACAAATAATAACTTACCTGAAAAATTAGGGAACTTTACATATTCATTTGGTGAAATAAGGGAATAATGTGAACTCTGAAATAAAAACAGGCCAGAAAAAGTTAATAGAAACAATAATTAAATATCAATATAAATTTTAAACTTAGTATTATTGATGGTTACAAATAATAATAAAATGAGATCCAATGTTATCATTTGGCTTTATCTTAAAGAAAAGAATTCATTTATAATTTAACCAGTGCAACTGGAGGTGATAAGATAATTTTCATGGCTGAAACATTGTATTAGTAGGTTGTTGAGGTAGGAACTGGGAAGGATTAAAAAAACACAAACCACATATTACTTTGTATATCACTGACCCCTTCTTGTTCTGTCTAAGCCTCAGGGGGGAAAAACTAATAAATTAAAAGAAAAAATAAAATAAGATTAATATCAAAGAAAGCATACATCAAAAGAGAAGGGAGAAGTGGCATTATACAAAATGGTAGAGTAGGGTGCTCAAGGAATTGGTCCCTCTAACTGAAAGAAATAGAAATTGTCAAAGACTGACAGATCAATAATTTTAAACCCCAGAATCTAGTATAAAACTTACAGAAACCAGAGGGCTGGTTAATTTTAAAAGGATAGGTAAATTTTGGTATTTTAAGAAATCCACTGGGCGTTACCTGGCTACTGACATAATGGAACACAGACTTCAGTGACTGAACAGATTGACAAGGAATATAGTCTTTGCAAAATAGTTAGGGTAAGTCACAAAAGAAATAGATGATTGCAGCCCTCAAAAATCAACAAAAATATTTCATAATATGGAGAAGAATAATCTAAGTTCTAGAGTTACATTATAATATTTAAAATGCCCAATTTCCATAAAAATATAATGCATACAAAAAACAGAAAATATGACCCATTCACAGAAAATAAGAAAAAGATAGAAATACCCTGAGGAAGTCCAGGCATTGGACTTACCAGACAAAAATTTTAAAACAATTTTTAAAATTTATTTTAAAACAATTTTTAAATTTTATTTCTTAAATATGCTCAAAGAACTAAAAAGAATCAAAGACAAAGAACTAAACAACAACAACAAAACTATGTATAAACAAATTTTAAATAAAGAGATAGAAATTATTAAAAGGAACCAAGTAGAAATTCTGAATCAGGAAATATCGTAACTGGAATGAAAAAATTACTCAAGGAGTTTAAGAGCACATAGAAGCAGACAGAAGGCAGAATCAGTGAATAAAAGATAAGAGATCAAAATTATCCAGTTTGAGCAGCAGAAACAAAAGATTCAAGAAAGATGAACAGTGTCTCCAGGACCCTGGGGACAACCATGAGGAATACCAACATATACATTATGGGAGTCACAGGAGAAGAGAGTGAAAGGGTGGGAAAGAATATTTGAAGAAATAATGGCCATAACCTTCCCAAATTTAATGACAGGCATGAATCTACACATCCAAAAAGCTTGATAAACTCCAAGGAGGATAAACTCAAAGAGATGTACACAAAGACATACTGTAATCAAAATGCCAAAAACCAGAGAATTTGAAAGCAGCGAGAAGTGACTCATTATGTACAAAAGCTCTTCAATAAGGTTAACAGCTATTTTTCATCAGAAACCAGGTAAGTCAGCAGACAGTGGAGCCACTGATCTTCAGGAGGCAGAGGGAGGAATATGATTTCTGTAAAGGGGTAACTGCCACATTGTAAAGCAGAGATATGTTAGAGCCAGGCTGTGTTCTTGAATATTCTGTTTCCATTTGAAAAGCTTATTGGGCCCTTTCCACCTTGTTAGTTGCTGAGCCCAACTTGACCCATCCCAAAATTGGAACAAAAAGCCTAAGAGTCACAAGGCCTCTACAGGTAAGGTGTTCACTGAGTTCAGTAGCTCTTGGTACTAGGTACTCAAGGTAATAACTGCTTTCCAAAAGGGGGACACTTGATAGCTGTGTTTGAGGAGAACAAGTCCAAAACCCCAGAAGAGTTTTTAGGCAGGGGCTCAAATCAGCACAGGAATCTATAGCTCAGGAGAATTATTAGGATTGTTGGACCCCAAAGATAGTGTATCACAGCTTGCTGAACAGCTTCTAACTCAGCTTGTTGGCTTGGGCTCCACTAAAAACATACTGATTTGTAGATCAGCCAATACTGTCTCCCAGACTCAGAGTCCAACAAGGTGCTGGGCATCCTTATGGAGTTGGTGGAAGAGGGTTGGGCAAAGAGACAAAAGTTTTTTACTGCCTGAATGACTGAATATTATGATTCTGCTCAGATAATCCGAATGAACTTTATCTGGTAAGTAGGCCCATGCATTTAGTCATGGTTTATTAGCCACTTCTGCTGGTGGAGCTGTAATACCACATTCAAGGCTGTTGAAACTAAGGCTTTTGACTTGCTGACCAGTAGGAAGTGATCTACGTAGTGAAAGCTGTGGACGTCAGAGGGACATCATGCTAAATGCTGACCCACTCACTGGTGACAAATGGCAGGTACAAGTAGGTACACCTAGAGGAATACTAAAAACATAAGGAAACTGATCTTGATCCTCAGGTATCAGTGGTATAGCACAGGTGGTGTTGGCAATGTCCGAGAGCATACCAAGTGCCATTAGTCTATATAACAGATTCACTTATAGTCACAATATTTGGAACAGCTGGGATATGGAAGCAACAACTGGATTCTGTTGGTGATAATCCACTGTAAGTATCCAACTCCTTTAGCAAATTTCACTGGGTTGTTGTACTGAGATAATGCATCTCTTACTTTCCCTGTAGCCTTTAAATCCTTAGTGAAGGCTGTGATTGCCCTTTGTTCTCCTAGGATTACAGTGTTTGTGTTTGGCCACCTGGGAGAGCACAGGGGGACAAGTTGGGTAGTGACTTACGTTTCCCACCAGTATTTCTCTACATGTGGCTCTTCCAATTCCTCTGGCACTTACGGAAGGAAGATGAACAAGTATGTAACACAATCATTTCTACTACACATTCAGATATAGAAACAACAGTACATTCAATTCACATACAGAGCCCCATCCAGAAGGTTACATTAGTTCCCTTCCCCATTGTGAACCTAGTCAAACCCCATAAACTGAATCTAAGTGATTGTGCTTTCCATAGGTCCACATAAGACAGAGATTTGGACACCCATATCCAACAGAGCCATGAGAGATTAGGTCCCTACCCTCTCTGAAATTCTCCAGCAAACTTGAATGGCTGTATAGAGCCTTCTATCTCCTTTAGGGACAAGGAGACCTAAGCTCCACCTCCAAACATATTTCTCTTTAAGCAGCTGAGATTAAGATAAGGGGGAATGGAGGCGTCATGGGGTGCAGAAGGAGAAAGCAACTCCATGCCACTTAACAGGGCTTCACATTTACTTTCAGTTTTGAGCGGTATACCAGCAATTCATGACTCAATCCAACAAAATTTTATTGTTGTTGGTCTTCCCAACACTCTGTACCAGGCAGCAAGGTCTTCATAGCTGACACCATCTACTTCATCTTTGGGAATGCCTTGACTCAGCAGCCATAAACACACTGCTTTCTGACTAGGGCCATGAAGTTTGTGTGTTCTCGAATGGCTTGAAATTGGTTTGCACAGTAGTGAGCTATTTTGTGAAGCCTACTTCAATCCAGGGCATCTGCTGTCCCTTACCATGATGACATCTCATAAATTCTTACCTGTTTTCGACATGGAGGCTAGAGGAGTTACCCAGGGAAAGCTAACTGTGATAATTTATCTGTATTTCTTTGGTTCAGTTTCTCATTTCCTAGGGTATCACCATCAGCATTATGTACCCAATTCAGGGCAGTAAGAGCAGGCATACAAGTCAATGCCTGTGTGTGGTTTCCCACAAGAGTTCATCTGTTCCAGGGAAATCTTCTCAGAAGGGCCAAGACTACTTTATAGCAGCCAAAACCCACTATAAAAAAACTGAGATATTCTATTGTTATTTTAAAACGGTTGTAAGATTGTTACTATATACTACAGGAGTTGGCCATAAGTTGGCCCAGCTGTTGCCACCCTTCCTTTATAGGTATTACACAGTCTGTACTCTCATCTCCCAAGCAAACCTGCCTAAATTCTAATGATTCACTTGGTTTCTGTCCATAGGAGTCATGAATTCCTATTCTGTCATCTTCAGTGTTGGTATGCATTTCTGTAATTACTGTCAGAGAGCAGAATCTTCTCACCCAGGGCAGATCTTAGTACTAATTGTTAAATAGGAATAGACTGAGGTAGATCATCAGATTGGCAAGGAAGTCTCTCCACCTGGAGGATAATCAGCAACAACCAGAGCACTGTTCAGGCAGGTGGTTTTGAACCTACTTCCCCACACTTGGCTTGCAACAACCTCTCCAATTCCCCCTCATTAACAGGCAATGGAGTGGAGGACTGTTTACTGGCTGACTGATCATACAATTTGGTGAGCATGTTGACTACCAATTCCCATGGGCTTCCACTAAATCCAAATGATCAGACCAGAGTCCTTGTCCTGCATCTTTCAGAAAGCCATGCCTGAAATTATCCCATCTTGTCACCAAAGTTGTCAAAAACTTATCCTACTTGTAAGCTAACAAGTTAGCCTGCCACAATTTTGTGCATGCTGGTAGAAGACATGAGTCTCCTGAGTCAGAGAGAAAGGACAGATTATTACTTAGAGCAATCGCAGTAACTGTATCAGTTCCTCAAGTCCTAGTTCCCACAAGGTGATAGGAAGAGGGCGGATAACAACTGCACATGCAGTGGAAAGGAATCCTGCGCCTCTCACAAGACATGCAGAGAAGTGAGTCAGAGAGCTGTCTCCACAATATGGAAAGATTTATGTAATGATGTTCACCACATATTAACTATTAACACCAATAATTTCTAGGTGGTGGAATTATAAGCTTTCTTTCTTGTATTTTTGGGGGTGCTGCTTGACGTTTCATAATAAGCTTGCATCATTTTCAATTACGTACTTTAAAAAAATCATTATGAACATTAAGGTCAAGATGATAATCTGAGTTTTTACAAAGCTTCTGTGAAATGAGCAGATATATATATAAAAATAGAGAAAAATCTGTATGCATACTAGGAAACTGAGAAGATTACTAGTTAGAGTTAGGGCAGGAATTAGAATTCCTTTAAAGAGACTTTAAAATAAATAAAAGGTGTGTGTGCAGATAAGAAACCAATAAGGGATGTTGAGGGCAACAGTGAGAAAATGTTACCACTCCAGCCAGAGCCCAGTGTTAGCTGAAGTCATGGAGGTGGGGGCACCCAGCAGTAGCTGTACATATGAAGGAAAATCCTTTGCCAGAATCAGAGCACCAAAGCAGGAAGACAGTAGGGCAGAAAACCTCAACCTTCCTTTCCCCTCTTACCCTCCCCCAAATGTCCTGCCAGTGCCTGCCATTTGCTGCACACAATTAAAAATCAACTAGAAAGAGAGTCTGGTGAGGCAGTTCACTGGGATCACCATCTTGGGGCAAAAAAACAAGACAAAGAAAGGTGGAGGAAAGAAAGGGGTGGGGACGGGATGGAAAATAATAAACGTAAGTACTGCCCGCGGTCTAAAAATGGTTAGTAAAGATGAAAACAGATTGAAGGGCTAACCAGTCAACCTGTAACTTACAATATTCAAGTAAAAGCCTGACTTGGAAGAAAGTAAACAGAATCTGCTACCCCTCAATGGAGACACACATTTCTTCAAGCTCACTGCACCAGCAATCAGTCTAGGGTGCCCACCTAAGTAAAGGAATGCTGGCCTAATAATATGGAAATACTCTGAAAATTCAGTGATGTTCACTGGTATTTACTGCTTCAAGTGGTATTTTTCCTGTTCCTCACAGGTAAAGGAAAGCTTAATGCAGCAATGTTAAAATTATTGGAAATATAAAATGCTTCCTTTCCTTTTGTCTGGTACCAAAAGCTTTAAATGAACAATCTCTGATAAAGTCCATCTCAAATACCAATGAACAAAAAACCTTCCAAAGAAAAGTATGAGCAAAGATAAAAATGACTAGAAAATTTTAAATGATCTATTTCAAAGGAAGGTCTATTTTGATCAATTGGAAAAGTCCCCCTTACTCCAAATATCATGAAAACTATTTTTATCTTTATTTTATAGTCTCAGTTTAAAAACATCATTATATCTATGAAAAGAAAACATACAGATTAGAAAAACTTCCAGGTGAAAAAATGTTGAATTAAAAAAGACAGTTCAATTCACATGCGTGACTTGGGTTAATTCAAAGTACAGAGTTAGCAAAGACAAAAAGTTTGGGAGATCATGGCATATCTCCCATCTGTCCATCAGTCATTATTCAAGGGTTACAATTTTATAAATGGAATTCATAGTTTAGTGAAGGGCTTGAACTCTCATCTTTCTAGAGACAAGACGTGAACTGCAAAGCAACTTGATTACAAATATAAGTTCATTCTTACGAGGGTGGGGAGGATTACTCAGAAGGTAAAGCCAAGCCCCAAGGGCAGAGCCAGGAGCTTCAGAGTTACTATGGCCCAATAACTGCTTACTATATGCTTCCCTTTCCCTTTCTTCCACCTTCAAAATATTTCAGTTTTCCTGATCCTGACTCACTCTTGTATGCAGGGGACAGATAACTGGTATCTTCAATTCACAGGTCTTAAAATTGAGAGAAGCCATACTCAAGAAGCCTCATTCACCTGGGCCTGTTTTAGATGTTGAAATTCTGTACCTCAGGCCCAGGCCTGATGCAGTAAGAGCATGAGACTATGGATCTTGGGAGTGGACTAAGTATATTTTATATGTGGGAGGGACATGAATTACTTGGGGCTAGAGATAGTTAATCTGTGGTGGTTAATCTACAAATATGACCCCCAATGAACAATACCTCCTTATGGAGTCCCCTCTCCTACTGAATCAGGGCTGAGCCTGGGACTTGCTTTAACTAACGAAATCCAGCAGAAGTGACCCAGTGCTAGTCTTGAAGCCCCATTAGAAGTTCAGACGCCTTGCTAGAAAGACCACATAGAGGCACAACAGGAACAGGCCAGATAGAGAGGGAGAGGATAACCCCTAAGGTTAAGAGTACACGGAGAGCCCTGGCCGGTGCGGCCCAGTTGGTTGAGCACTGTTCCATGCACCGAAAGGTTGCCGGTTCGATTCCCTGTCATGGCACATACGCAGGTTGCAGGTTTGATCCCTGGTCGGGGTGCATGCGGGAGGCAATCGATCGATGCTTCTCTCTCACACTGATGGTTTTTTCTCTCTCTCTCTCTCACCCCGCCCCCCAATCTATCTCTCTCAAGTCAATAAAAACATTTTAAAAAATTACACAGAGAAAGAGAGAGAAAGATATCAAACCAGATATCCATACATCCCAAGTGAGCTCAAACTTGGAGTTATTCTCATGCAGGTATAAGACATGTAAAGGAGCCATCATTAGTGTTCCGGCACAATCCAGTAACTAGATAACTACAGAATGAGCCAACATCAAGTGGAGCAAAGCAACTTGCCAGATAAGGGCAGTCAGCCCACAGAATCTTGAGAGATAATAAAATGGTTATTTTAAGCTGCTAAATTTGGAGTGATCTGTTATGCAGCAATAAATAACTCACTTGTCAAATTAAAAATAAAGATTTTGGAAGTCAGACTTAATAAAGAAATGAAAAGGCAAACTACATAGGAATGAATATGTGCCATGAATATACACATGGTTAATATCCTTATAAGAAAAAGACCTCATGATAATACTTAAACATAACCACCAAATATTCAACAGAAAAAAAATGGACAAAAAACATGGTCTGTCATTATTTAAAAGACCATTAATACTCAAATACCACTGGTGAGAATGCAAAGTGATACAATCTTTCTGGAGAGCAATCTGTCGACATGCCATTTCTATGAATAGACAAGGAGACAATCACAGATCCAAATAAGTAGTTAAATAAAAGGATATTAATTTCAAACTAATGTCCAATAATATAGAATACGTTTGAAATAATTAATATCTATATTTGATGATATTCTGCATCTTTCAAAATTTTAAGAAAATTCAGGTAGCATGCTTATAATATCTAGTTTCAAAAAGTACAATATAAAAAAGTACAAGTATAAAATTATATATAGTTTGAGTCAAGCTTTTAAAAATAAATAAAAGGTATATGTATATATGCATAGCAAAGACTAAAAGGAAACAAAATTGTTAAATGTTCCAGTAGAATTATAACTACTTTTATTTTCGTTTTTATACTTCCATTTTCTAAATATTCTATACTAACCATATTACTTCCAAATTCAGTAAAAACCAGAATGTTATTCTTTTTAAGTTATATTGGTTGAGCTATTGATCTAGGTATTTAAGAATAATTCCCCAACTAGAAATATTTAATAAAATTATATCTTTTTGAGTTTGGTAGGGGATTTAAAAATAACTTAGTATGACCTGTCATTCAACAGATGAGGAAATAGGCTTAGAGATTGAGGTGCCCATGCTTGTGGAAGTATTTAGATGCAGAGCCTTACTTAGAATTTAGATTGTTTACCCACTGACCAGTACATATTTTTACACTGTTTTATGAGCTACCTATAATAGTAATTCAAATAAGATGTAAAGATCTAAATAGAATAACTGTCCTTTTGAGAAAGACTTTACCCGAGTGTATATTTTAATTTACGTTCAGATAATTCTTACTTTATACTATAAAGTTATTAATAACAGGGAGAACATATGCTATTTCTTATTATATGACAGTTTGATTAAAAATTTCCATTGAAATAACTTCCCAGACTTTTAAATTTCCTTTGAATTTACACTTTGTTATTGTTGTTACACTTTTAGCTGAATTTTACACCAACCCATGAGACTAGCTTACGTTATTGGTATCTCTGATCACTTTGCTTTGCCTTTAAGGGTTTTTTCCTCCTTACTTGAGTATAAATAGGGTAGGAATGTTTACTATACTTAGATACACTTCCACTTGGAGACATTTGAATGCATTTTCAATTTATTTGTATTTAATTTGTTATTTTAAATGAATCAATTTTGTTTTTCTTAGTCTTATACTTCTAAAATGAGGGAGATACCTTTAGTTCAAGGTCTTCCTTTGGATTTTGGCTTTGAAAGCTACCTTTTGATTTTGGATCTGGGGAACTAAGCTTGTGTTCTTCCTTCCAGCTGAGGTTAGACTGTTACTTTGCCACTTAATTCCTGTTGGAGATGAGTCTAAGTTCCTCCTCTGTATTCTACTTGGATTTATTATTAGGGATATTTTTCAATGTTACCTCTGATGTAGTTGAGTCTCCTTTTAAAATGCTTGGATGTTTTTCAGGTAATTTCACTTCCAGTAGAAAGGGTGTATTACTCTGTCTTCGGTCTGTCGTGGATTCTGGTTGGTGTTCCTCTAAAGGTGTTATTTTATTCTCTCTGGTTATCTTCTTTTTCTTAGGAACATTGATCAGTGGAATATCACTGTGTTTAGTTGAGTCAACACTTTTAGGAGCAATAGCACTTGAACTATCTCTATCTGGCTGGTTCAAAGTCGGTCCAGTCAGGCTTTTCTCATCATCATTATTCATCAACTAGAAAATATATCAATAAAACAAGCTACCAATTAATCATTACTGACTAGAAAATATTTAAAACTAACAGAACTGGACTTAAAATCATTTGTACCCTTATCCTTTATCATAACAAGTTACCATCAATATTTGTAAATTATTACAGCCCTTATTAAAAGAGGAGCAATTCTCTACTTGCCTGAGACCATGGACTATTATCCAGAATGGTCCTCATACTTTATAAATCAGGGGTTCTCACATGTTCAGATGTTATAAATCAGCAACATCTCAAAAAAGAAGATTGAGGGAGTCTAACATTTTACTGTTATACCATCACCAATATATCATAAAATAGAGGGAATTTTAGTAGCAAACAGCACGTCAAAAAATCACAGCTCTACCACAAAGGAAATTTTAATAGCAAAATAGTACAAAGAATGGTATTTTATAATAAAGAACAGACTGTTAAGCTAAATAAATTTAGCTGTATGAAAAATTCTCTCTCTTGTCTTTTCTCTCTCTCCCTGGACTAGGGAAAACAGTACATACTAACTCTTCTGCTGATATTTGGGAGCCAATGATCCAAGGATGGAAATCATTAAATCCCATTTGTCAAGTAATATAGAAGAATCTTTTATTTTTTATTAGTTTACATAGGGATTCACTACTTTATGGAATGTACCTTCTGTAAAATTAGATCAAAAGCAAATAATATCATATGAACTATATTTTTACTTATTTCTATTATAAAATACAGACTATTATCCCATAGGGAAAAAGTAAAGAATGTGGTCAGGTGTTTAAGAATAATTTCAGAATGTGATCTAGGTGTTTAAGAATAATTCCCCAACTAGAGATATTTAATAAAATTATATCTTTTTGAGTTTGGTAGGGGATTTAAAAATAACTTAGTATGATCTGTCATTCAACAGATGAGCAAATAGGCTTAGACCACTGTGCAGAACTTTATGCTTTCTCTTTTACCTGTGTTCTCCTTCTCTTCATCAACACCTTTTGTCCCCTATCTTCATATATATTTTTAAACGTTACTATTTTATGTTGAAACTTCTCTTTTAAGAGTATAATTTTACTTAAATAAATCATGTAACTGTAATGATATTGCCATAACAAAAATAACCAGGATAACCTGAATAACTTAGTGTTTTTTTCCATCTATAAATAATTCTCCATTTATAAATACTTCATCCCTTTAAAAAATAGTGACTATTAGAAGTTGTCTTCCAAGTTCCCTTACCTCAGATGGAATAGTTTCAGCTTCGTCACTTATAAGAGGGGTATCTGTTAACAGAACATTTTATTACATATAAAATAAACATATTGTTTATATGTGTGTACACTAATAAATTATTGTACTTTTTCTCACCAAGAACAAAGAACAATTTAAATCAAAGAAACTACTTAAATAAACACTATTTAGTGAAAACAGATGAATCTCTTGGAAGGTAGGGAGAATGTAAAGTGTGAAGATAAAATGAAAATATATATAAACTGATGAGATTTCAGATCCATCGATTAAGACATAAAAACCAGTATACAGTATATTTTGCTAAAAGTCAAGAGCAAATAAAAATAAAATAAACCCCAGATGGTCAGTGATGAGGTTGGGATTGGAAAAACAGATTAGAATAAACCCATGAGAGAAAAGACCATTCAAGGGAGGCAGATTAAAGCACTTGTAAAATTCTTCTAGAAATACAAAGAATACATCTTTAGCAAATAGAAAAGGAAAACCTGAAAGGGAAAGAGAAGTAATAAAGAGTTGAGATACAAAGGAATGTGTAAGTCTAGTAAAAAAAAATTATATGGTCATTATTAGCTGCATGACTGTGGTCAGCTCATTTTTCTGAACCGTGTGGCGTTCTCATATGTAAAATAAGCTAATGATATCTTATAGGTATGATACAAGTATATGTAAGATGGGAGCAGCAATATGGTTAAATGCTTGCACTCCTGGGTCAAACAGACTTGGCTCAAATTCAATCCTTATCATTTAATGGCTGTGTGACCACTGATTTGTTTGATCCTGTTGATCCTGTTTTCTCATCTGTAAAAATGTGGATAAATAATAATAGTGCTCTCAATTGATTGTTGTGAGGATTGATTTCTAGAACCCAAGTAAAGTGCCTGGAACACTATGATCAATAAATGTTAGCTATGACTATAGGAAACCATAAGATTACCAAAAGGAAAGAAGTCACTAGATGACCCAATGGGACTTGAAGTAAACTCTTTGGATAAGTGAAAAAATTAATAAATTTAAAAAGGAAAAGATGGCGACCACCAGTGAGTGAAAGAGGTTAACTTCCAGGCTTCAAAAGTGGTATGTGATTCCCCTACACGTAAACAATGAGTGTACAGCTCTGCCAGGCTGGTAGTTCCTCTGGGGTTAGCAAAGGAATATAAAGAAGCCTGATGTAGCAGGGAAGTAGAGCAGAGAAGTAGAAAAGTCACCTGTGGCAAAAGCCTTATAACAATAAATCATTAGTCCACACCTTCAGAATTTAAGATGTTAAAGCTACAGTATTATACACCCACTTTAACTTACTTTCTAAATGAATCTTTTTACAGAGATTTTTTTAAAAAGACTGCATGTAGAGTTTGTCCATTAATTAAATCTCTTACTGATAACTGTGGCACGTTTGCAAATTTAATGTTAATTTAATTTCCTTTCCCCCCTTTTTCCTCCCCCCTTTCTCTTACACACACACACACCTCTACATAAAAGAGACCAATAGCCCTATAGTTGACAATGTTTAAANACACACACACACACACACCTCTACATAAAAGAGACCAATAGCCCTATAGTTGACAATGTTTAAAATACTTTTTCATAGATCACAGTTAAAATTTAACTTTTTTCTTNCAATGTTTAAAATACCTTTTCATAGATCACAGTTAAAATTTAACTTTTTTCTTGTCCTTAAAGGAGGAAAGGAACATTAAAATAACTGAATTAAGTCTAAGTCTTTTCTTTAGAGTGTTATAAAATAAATACTATGTACCAAAACTAGAATGAAATACACATTTTTTCCCTTTTGAAATATGAAATCCACTTAAAGCAAGTTACTAATTTTGCATTTGTGATAGAATCACCCTGGTTTTAATTATCTGAATAATAAACAAAAAAGTAAACTAGTTTTTCTTAACCTGATGTTACAGTGTCTTCAGGATTTTCAAACTGGCTTTCAGCTGCCTCATAGATATTATTTCCCTAGAAGCAAAAAAGAAAGAAAAGAGGAAGGAAGGAAGGAAGGAAGGAAGGAAGG